ATTTATTTTTCTTCTGATTCTGACGATGTCTCACGAAGTCTAACATTATATTCAGCCATTCTTGATTTCAATTATGGAACAAACTTCAGTCATGATCTTTCCTCCCTTTGCCTTGAATCAAGTTTAATTTCTGACTCCACTAGCAGGTATTTGTTCTGTAAACATACGCATGCTTTACTTTGGCATTAATATTAATATTTTTAACATTTCAGCTTCTCCAGTAAACGCTTCTTGATTTGAAAACACAGAAATTTGTGCTGAAAGCAAGGCAGAAATCCAGAAGATGCATGATGGATTTTTGCAGTGTTTACCACAAACTCCACCGCTTCACCATGTAAAAGATGTAAATAGTGAAACGCTCCAGTATTTCTCCACAGTTTTATGTGGACGTGCTGACATAAGCAAGAGTAAATAGAAGATATCGACGCTAAGAGGTTTTATGAAGCCACGTCTTCATAACGTCTTAAAATCTCTTTCAAGTGTGCAGGCACAACTTGTAGGCAAATACGCCAAAGCTTTTGTACCATTTGCATAGCCATTTATAATCTAAGAGTGCCTGTGTGTGTTTGCGGGTGTACTGGATTTGGTGGTTTATGAGGACACTCATTTGTATAATGTCTGTATAAAAATAATCGTAATTTCAACAGTAAAAAAGTTAAAACGCTTCAGTAAAACTCTGTAACCTGGTAACTGGATTTTTCCTTAATATATATATATATATTTACAGTAAATAACTGTAAATTGACTTTCCCAGAATTGCCTGCATGACAGCTCGCTTTATGCTTGTGTTGACATTATCATAATGTTAGTTTTGTCCTCATCAGTAGAGTTGTCCATCTAATGTTGCTGATGTCACTGCATTACTTCATTTACGTGTGTGTGTGTGTGTGTTACCCTGGTGATGTTCAGTAGTTGTGTGAATGAGACTTTTTGTCTGTGTAATAAAGGTATGATGTGTAGATGTTCATATTTCAAAACACTGGTGTAACACTGGTGCAACCACAGCTGCCACTGTAAATGTAAATGTCTTTTTAAATTGGGGTGGTTTATCTGGACAGGCTTTCATTTACCTTACAATACTTAAAGGATGTTTCACATTCATAATGTGCCACAGGTTTGCTGTGAGGGTTGGGGTAGGGGTAGAGTTACTGTAAAAAACAAAAACAGTAAACCTTACCATAAAAACACCACACTGTTGATTGCCAGAATATAACCAACAGTAAAATAAAAAAAAATTTATTATATTATTTTACTATTTTTTTTAAATATACATTTTACAGTACTTTTTTTCTCATACATCTATGTTTTGAGGTAACATTTACACGGTAGATGGTTATTGTGATTTATTTGGACAGGCTTTATGTCCCTGTAATGCAAAACGCTTAAAAATTATAATCTTTTTTGTTTTTCACATTAAAAAAGTGCCACAAACTGAGGTTTGGGTAAACAAAATATAAAAAATAAAAAACATGGAGATTTTGGGTGAATGTATCTTAAAAGACTATTGTTATTTTATTTGTTTATTGTTGATTTTACCATTTCACAAAAGACTTAAATCGCTAGCTGATGGACGATTGTATAATAGATGGCTGTATTAATGTATATGATGACATGAGACAACTATACCTCTGTTCTGTCATAGCAAATCTTTGCAATTATATTCATACTTTTATTATTACAAATATATGTGTAGTAATAATAATAATAATAATAAAATTAAATGAAAAAATGGGTTAGGGGGCTGTCACTGTAAAAATAAATGTACTGTATAAATGAAGCAGCTGTAGTTTACAGAATTTACCCATTAAAAATACGGTATAAGAACGTAAAAGACATTTCACATTTTACAGTAAATTACTGCATTTCAGAATGTTTTTGGCCATACACCAGTGCTTCTACACAACATAGTTATGTCATGATTCATTTATTGACTTGCTTATTATGATTTATTGGGACTTGCTTTATGTCCTTGTAATTCAAAACACTTGAAAACCATATATATATAAATATATATATATTCGAATTGAAAATGTGCCACAAGCTCTGAGGTTTGGGTTATGGGTGGACATGGGACAATAACCATGCTTAAGGTATACCGCAGTTTGGAAAAGTCAAGGATTTAAAACCACCAATATTTTCTGCAATACCTTTCCTTAGGATATGAGTAAGATTTTTTATTAACTTTTAAACTTTTTATTTAGGACATCAGTAACTCCAGCAGAGAAGATCTTTGAAGATGCTGTTTTAAATTGTACAAAAAATCTGTGTTTTTTTAAACAAATGAAGACAGCAGAAGTCAAAAATTAATTTGAGTAATTCAGCCTGACATGTTTACTGCTCCAAAATATTATAAATGTTTCCCAGATTAAAATATATTGTGTACAAAAGAGAAAAGGTTTTGTTTTTTACTCAGACATTTAAAAAGAATATACAGTTGAAGTCAGAATTATTCACCCCCCTGTTTATTTTCCCCCAATATCTGTTTAATGGAGAGCAGATT